TTGTAAGTTTCTGTAAATGTTTGGTCAGGATGTTTATGCATTTGCAACCATCCTTGAATATGAATATGTATTTTTGTACATGGTTTCAATAAGATTTAGAAACATGTTGAATCTGTGGCAGACATTTCCCTGAAGATTTGGGCTTTTTACTCAAAAATGTTTGCTAATTTACCCTTCTCTTAGCAACTCATGCATAACTACATACTTACACATTAGATTGCTGAATTAATTTTGATGTTCTGTAGATTATTTTATTCAGATCTTTGGAGCACAGAGTGATGTAGTGTCCCATCTCCCAGATGACTATCTCAGTTGTGTCCTCATGTTTATCACATGACTAACTAGCACAGTCTTCTTCTAATTGCTTATAACATATGCAGGAGCAACAAGACAAATTATCAGTATTTTTTTTTCTTTGGAAAAAACATTGAAAAAGCCAAAGAACTTTACATTACACAAATCAGACAACAAGGCAAGAAGCAGACTCTGAATTTATTTCTGTTCATAGTTTGTTAGTGTTCTTTTTATTAGCAAATTAAAAATGTGATTTACATTTAGTAAAAACTGATTTAATAATTAATATTATCTCTCAAGAGGACTGAAGTGACTGAGCTTGGTCACTCAGTAGGTCTTGTTTTCACTTCTCGTCTTTTTTTTTTATGTTGTTGACCCACTTTTATCCCAAGTAGCATATCAAACATCTGAAGGGGAGGGCACCAGAAGACAGAAGAAAACTGTATTTTTATGTAAATGCAAAAAAAAAAAAAAAAACTTCTGTAGCCATGACAACAGTCTCCTGAGTGGATTTCTTCCACCAAGCGAACCTTTGGATCCAGTGCACTTAAGAAATATGTTTCAAAAAGAGAACCTGAGAAGCTTTTTAAAGAATGATGTATAATTTATTTGTATTTTTCTCCTGCTTCAGAGCCTCTTGAAAGAGGGTCCTGTGTGAGACGTGTTCTGAATCTGTCAGACTGCAGCAGTAATGCAGTCACACTCCCCACATGTGTTTGTTCTCAATGAGATTGACCCTTTTTAACATATACCCAGCTGTTCGGTGCCATAGTCCAGCGTTTAAAATCTCTTCCACACACTTGAAAAGAAACATTCATAAACAAAACCACTTAGCATCTCATTTTAATGGTAGGACCATACTAGATGTTACAGTAGCTCTGTTTCTTTACCTGGTTGTTATTTTGATAAACTCACTGTCACTGTACTAGGTGACAATGAACTAACACCAAAAAACCCTCAAGATTTGGGGTTTTGGATTTTTGGAATTTCATTTGGATTGATATCTTCACCAGACTTTTCAGAGACACCCATCTTCCAACAGTTTGGTGGCAGATCTTTTCAACTTTTCAGCAATAGTTACAGTTTTCAGTGTGTTTCAGTTGCAGTCAGCTAACACTGTTGGCATTGCCAGGTTAGTTCTGCTGAGTCGTAAAAAAATGATAATAAAAATAAAAAATAAAATAATGTTGGAGTCTGACCATTAGTTCCACAGAACAGTGGTAGGATTGAAACATTAAACCTGCAATAAGTATTATTTGGGGGCAGCAGAAACAAGCTGTAAACATTTGCATATTTAACCTGTTAAGTTAATATGGGAAACGCATGCGCAAACAGGTTCTGTACAAATCAGATACAGAACAACATTATCTTTGATTTGTATTGACAGTCAGGTAATAAAAAACATCAACATCAGCCGCACATTAACACATACAATTGTTTATTGATATGCTTATATGCAACAAAAATAAGAGAAAGGGTAAAACATGCCTAAACTGTATAGAGGCACTGGTAAGAGACTCAATTCCCATAGAAATATTGATTATAGCCACTTTAAATTTACTGTGAAGAATAGTGTTGTGTGCCCTACTGGAAACAGCTTTATGAAGAATCTGTTGGGGGCAAGGACATACAAGGTGAATTTCAAACAGGTTCAGTCTCAACTAAACTCTTAAAAGCAGTTATTTGGAAGTCTAAACCAAGGTTAAATTAAAACTTAATATACTGACTCAGATGACATAGTAGTACCACTCTCTGCACTCTTTCATCACAGTGAAACATAGGGTGAAATAACTAGTGCAGTGACAGTCTGCTGCAATAAATTGCTTTAAGATTTTAAGATAACACCGAAAAAATTACAAAATATGACTGAAGGCTCATCTTTCACTGGCTCCCTTGGATTCTGTGGATACTGCTTGTAAAACAATACAAATTCACAATGGACACATTATCTAACATGACCCAACAAACTGGGACCTCCATGCTTTTTTGTGAATGAATTGTTTACAAATAACACTTTTGCTTCGTTTACTTTCAAAATGTGTGAATTGCAACATTATTTTTTTGAAGTAGGCTTTAAAAATCAAGGTTTAATTTTTTTAGTGTTAAGCGAGGTAAAATAATTTCTTCTCTTAATAGTAATGAGAGATTTTAGATCAGCTTTTCATACCTGCAGAATGAACACAGAGGATATTGTAAGTAAGGACAGGAGGAAGAAAGTCATTATTTTATTGTATCTGTGAGTCAGTAGATGAAAATCATATTTTCAGGCCTAAGAGATAAGATTTTTATCTCATCTCTGAGGCCTCTAGTTGCCCACAAAAGCCCTCTATGCCATGGTTGTCTCACAGCTTGGGGATTACACCTGGTAACTATTGATCCCATATGTTTTTAAGCCTCAAAAGAACATTAATGTATCACTGGTCCATGTTCCCTCTGTTAATGAGAATGAAAACAATGATCATGTAATGTTAATGCAGTTAAAGTGACTCCCTCTGTGCCATTATTAAAACATTTTAATTATTAAGTGTCTAATGGTCACTGCTAATTCACTTAGCTTCCTGTGAGTGTGACAGGGACCGTACCTCTCGGTTCGTCGGAGAGGTCCCAAAAGCAATTTACTTCTTAGCATCTCTCCTAAAGGTCTGCTCAGTGTCCCTGCCTGTCAACATTTAACACTTAAGTCAAGCTGTCCCGGTATGATACGTATTGACAAATTGGGTTCATATGAATCATTTAGGCTCACCTTTAATTTGGCCTTTAGTTGTAAAGGAAAGACATTTGGCATCACGCTTTGTGTACAGTTATTGGCTAAATTGACTTCCTACCGATATTTTTATCACGTACTAATAACGTGGCTTCATCTGTGAGCAGTGCTGCTCAGGGTGGAAGTTGAACCGTATGAGTTATCCCTTCTTTTACATGGCTGATTGAGTTGGAAGGGGTTCAGATTAAAGGCACAGCACCTCCACTTGAGACATTAATACCAAGGCAGCCGTGACAAATAGAGGCTGAGCCAGGGTTTGGCACCCATATTCAACAGGATTCCTTTGTGTGTGTCCAGAGCCAAGCAGATCATTATTTATTTAGTTGTTCCATTGCATGCGATATGCATTGTTGTGTTTGTAAACTAGATTGATGTGATGGGTCTAGTAATAACTAGAAGGTTGAAGATCCAGGTTATCAACTTACCTGTTGTCCATTTAAAAAAAAAAAAACTCACACACACAACACAATTGGCTGCTGAAAACATGAATTTGTTTTTTACAAATTTTATTTTAAGGATCAGGAGGATTTTAACACCAGGGTTACATAATTAGCCGGGTATTTATTTGCACCTCTAAATTTTCCTTATGATGGTCTTAAAGTAACATGAAAGGCTTGAAATTGCAAACAATTCTCTGCATTGTTTGGAGTAACTTTATTCAATGGAAGGTTTTACATTTTGTTTTATTTTACTATATCAGATTTATTTGGCAGTTCCATTGAGCTTTCAAGAAGTGATCATTAGTTTAACTTGTGTTTCAATACCAAACAATAACTTTCTATTACTGACAAGCAAACCTCCCAAACAACAATGCTGCTTCTCATTTATTTGAATTATTCTGTTGCATTTGAAAGCCTTTTTGCAAAATGTCTTATTAATTATAGTATGGTAGGATACTGAGATAAATGCAACAGAAAAAATAGGAAATTGAAATTTCAATATGCCAAGAAAGGCATTTTCAAATTGTATACATTTGTTTAACTATTTTTTTTCATGTCTCAAGGCTGTGCTGTTTCCTTTCAACATAAAGTATATTCTTGTAAACCTCTGCAATATCAAATCACATTCCCGACTCCCATGTCTTATCATTGTAAATACACTCACTACACTCACTAGAGAATGAAATAGAAACATAATTGGTAGAAACAAGACAACATTTGCATTTTCTTTGGATTAAGATACAGTTTTCGGACCAAAGTCTTTAGAGTACGGCTTACAGCTAGTGTCATTTGAATTCAGTGTCAATGCTTCAAATCAGTTACTCAGGGGGGAGGAGTCTTAAGTTCAGTTTTGCGTCTCCAAAAAGAGCTACAGACTAATTGTAAGGTCAGACTGATAATATTCTTCTGTGTACCACAACAGTATTTGTAGTCTCCCTTATGTACTGTGTCATTTATATGTGAATTAAATAAGCCTGTTACAAACAATCTTCATACCCACTTCTGCAAATTAACTACTCAGTTCTCCAAACTTAAAACACTTGTGTTGATAGCTTAATTGCAGCCGTAATAGTTATTAACAATTAAAACATTCTCTGGATACTTGTAAACATTTGACAAGCAACAAAATGGTACAGCAGTTTATCTTCTGAATAAATGATATGAAGAGAGTAATTAGGGGGTTGATTCCTCTCACGACACACTTACAATGACTTGACCAATTAGCAGTTGTTGTGACAGGTCTTCCAATGTTAATAACCTTAAATAATTTAGATTTTTCAAAATCATATATGCACAAAAGGAGATTATGCTAATGAAATAATGTTGTACAGTCAGTCTGTAACAAGGAGCTTGTAAGAAGAATGTATTTGATCAGCCCACTCAGTTTATCTACTTGCATGTTTTAAAGCATGTGTCGCTGTGTCTTATCCTGCTGAGTGTCTTTGGTACAGCCTAAAACATATAACATGATATATTAACAAAAGCCAGTAAACTGAAAGCAGTAAAGGAAATACTAACTTTTATTTTTGCTATTTCCATTCAAATGACAACAACTTCATTTGGCAATAACTTCCTCCATATCAAGTTTACAAAAGTGTCTGTAAACATTAAAGTGCAAAGAATTTGCTTGCCATTTAGGGCACATATCTTTTAAAGGTTCATGCTACAAGCTCACCAATCTAGTTTCATGTGAAGAATCCAGTCACTTACCTTTTAATTTCATCCACACAAATATACCCTACTTATATTTTATTTCAACAAGTAAAACAAAAATGCTATTCAATAAATTGTATGATGGTCCATGGTTTCAAATACAAACAAATAGGTGACAGAAAGGCAAAGGTTACAAAAAATTGGCTGTTTGTATAGTTAAGCCAGTCTTATGAACCCTGTGGCTGTTTGAACAAAGAACAGAATGATGTTTAAAGTTGATCATACAAATTAAAAGAAACAAAATAACAAGAAAATGCATTAGAAAACACTCCTTTTAACTGCTTGAAATTCCGAGAACACAGAACAGTGTCTTGGTTTGCAACACTGATCAGAATTAAAGTTTTTGTTCAGTATAGGCTTGAATGGCCCATTGCTGGTTTTTACTCATGTAACGTTCAGTGCATTTAGGACCTATTCAAAGTGAGAATTCCTGATGAAGAATGTGTCCAAGAACACATTAGACGCCCCCTTAGTGGGATGTTATAGTCTTTGTTGTGCTATATCTGGGCATTTCAGATTTCAAAAATCCATCAGTGAGGAACAAGGAAACTTGGACAGTATGGCAAAGGGCCTAAGAGTTCTTATTGTCATTTCTACTATTGACTTCTGAACACATCAGTGTTAGTTGGAAGCTAAGGCTCAAGCTTGCTCTTGATTGGCTAAGATTGGATTTACACAGCAACAGAAAAATCCAAATTTTAAATCTCACGTGGTCCCTTTCGTGAGGTTCGACCTGCCACAAGAGTTCAGATATATGCCAAACAGGATGGCAGTAAAAAGAGAAAAGACTTTTGTTTCTATGTATATGTAGCTTATGTATCAGGCATGCGCCCCAGAGGTGTGTCAGCTGGTCCCAGGAGCCGATACTTCTCCTCCAGGGACGGCTCAGTGGCACTGCCCTGCAGGTGGATCAGTGGCTTGGTCTGCAACAGCACACAACCCCTTCCCCGGACTCGCCTCTCTTCTTGGTTCCTGCGGTTGAAGATGTTTATTCTTTTGTCTAGCTCAGGGCTGGCCTTTTCTGAGCCAGTAGGGCTGGGAAGCTTAAGGTTGACAGGGTCCACTGCCAGGCCCTTTTGAGCAAGGCTGGAGTCCTCAGAGAGCGAGGAGAGTAGCTCCTGTACCACCATGCTGGGGTCCCTACATGGGTCCTGGCCTGAGAAGGTAGGGGGGCAGCAGCGGTGCGAGCTGTAGCTCAGACTGAGGTCCTGAGCTGTGCTGCTGCTGCAGTCTGTCATAGATGAACCTGGGGTGTGGCTACTCAGGCTGTGGGGGCGGGCCGTAAGGCTGCCACTGGACCGTGATATGCTGGTTGAGGCATCACTTACGGCGCTGCCCACCCGCTCCATAGCAAGCATCGGATTTGACTGGATGGGATGTGGATTGGTGGGGAGGTGAACGTCAATGGCTGCAGTGGTGATGATCCGGGCACCTAAGCCAGAAGCCCCAGCATCTTGAAAGACATTGTAAACATTTTTGGAAAAAGTTTTACAAGACATATAAAACAAATTACACAAATTTCTTTACACACCACAAGTGCATAACAGTGTACTTTCTGTCGGCCATATCTAGAGAAAACTTTAAAAGCTGTGAATGAATTATGCTGATGCCTGTGGTAAGGTTTGAAATATCTACTCAACAGATTTCCTATAACTTGTGACAGTAAATTTGAAGTGTTAAAGGTCCAGTGTGTAACATTTACAAATATCATTAGACAGAACTATGATTATATGAGTATAATCAGTTCAATATAGGAATATGTTTTTATTACCTTAGAATGAACCTTTCATATCTACAGACACCTTCCATGGAATCTGTTATGTTGAACCACCATGTTTCTACAGTAGCCCCAAAGGGACGAACCGAACACTGGCTCCGAGACAGGGGCGTGTAACCACCGTAGTTTCTCCTTTGCACTTGGAAGGGGTGGGTGAAGCGAGGGGGTTGAGATCTGCAACTACAACTACTGCTAGATTCCACTAAATCCTTCCATAACATTTGAGTTTACATTTAAATATACAGTTTTCCAGCTCTCCTCTGATTCTGTGTAAGGCTGGTCCAACATAAAACCAAAAACTGACTCATCAAATATCTTATATGCAGCTAAGTCTATGACCAAACCTATGAAGTTTTTTCCTATGACCTATGAATCAGCAGCCTTATAATCACTCAAAAAGACGTTTGAGTAGCTGCTTGACTTAATTTGATTGACATGTACATATAGTGGTGTATAATAAGGTCAGTGTCCATAGTCACTTACCACTGCTTGCTTCACTGTAGTATTGGCTGATGTAGTTGTTCATGTCATCATGTACAACTGGATCTGAGTTTAAAATAAAGAAATAAAAATGATTATTTCAGCAACTGTTCAGCGAGCTAAACCCAGTAGCACCAAGAAGCCAGCAGGCAGAGGGAGGAAGCAGGAAAACAGCTATAGAGTTAGAATATTTTTACATCAAACTCAGTGAATGAAGGATTTATTTTGATTGATTTATTTTTGCAAGAGTTGGTCATTGCTGGAACAGTGAAATGACAAACCAAGACTGCTTCGGTGAGTTTTTTTTGTGTGTTTTACACTGAGTCAACAAGGCAATTAGGCTATCGTGAGTCTCAGTTCAGAGAAGCTATTTGAATCTTTATAAGTTTACAAAAAATTAAAACGTCAATATTTCAAATTTAGATTTAAACTAATTTCTAATACTCACTATACATAAGACCCTAAATAAATATAGTTAGAAAGCTATTGTGGATTTGGGTTTACAGTGGCTTTAATGAACCTCAGCATCCTTTTGTGAATGCGATGCTTTTCCAATCATCCAGTCAAAATGATACCACAATAAAAAGCTTGTATGAGATTATATTATTGTAACCACTCAATTTCTTTTCTATTTGTCCATAATCTGATTGCTAACGACTACTGTACAAATCAACCTGATAACAGATTCATTTAAATTTGGTGAACTTTGCTGCATCTTTACAGAAAATATTAACTCCTAGGGGAAAAAAACCCTGATCCCTCCTACAATACCTCCATACATTCAGCTCTGATTCCTTCCTGTCTTTTTCACTACCACTTGACCATACAATAAAAGTCATGTGTTGTTGTGGTGTGCTTGCTCTTGTCTGTCATGAAATATTTTTCCACTTGATTATAGTGTATAAAAGTACAAATATAAATATCCATAATATGCCAAATATGCATGATTTCACTGTAATTACAATTACTACATTATGAACACAGTTTTGATTGCACTCTCTGATTGTTGGAATTTGGGATTATACATAAATACAATCAAAAAATGCATCAAATACTTTTCGGACGTATATACATATTATTATACATATATTATATTATATTACATTATGAATACAGAACCATAAGTTGTAAATAGCAGGAAGTGGCCTGTGCTTATGCTTTCATATAGTGGGGCAGACTCATACTACTAAGAATTTGTATGGCAGTGACTGTAATTGGATCTCACACCTTTTTGTCCGTAAGTACTTTGGTCCATTTCAGTGTGAACATTGCAAACTAGTCCAAATGGAAAATATCTCTTATGTTTACAACATAATATTGACAGAGATGACTTCTGCCCCAGGCCACAGGTGCTTTATTGGCAAATGGTCAGGATCACACACTGCTACGCTGTGCATTAGCTGCACCCTAGTGCACCAAAAATAAACTGGGACAGGGACAGGGTGGGGTTGGTTTCAGGGATGATAGAAATGGGGGTAAATTGTAGAGAGAGAGACAGAGAGAGAGAGGGATCTCTTTGTTCAGGCACAGATCTCTCCAGTCTAGCAGGCCTCAGTGTGCGTGGTGAATGGCCGTGATCTGCTATGCTCTTCTGTTCGCTTGATTGGTCTTGAGCTCACTGTCCGCTGGCTGAGTGCGAACCCAGAGTACCCTGAGTGCTAGCCCCTGTCCCCCGGGACATGCTGCAGACTCTGATGGGTAATTTCATTTATTTTTCAGTCTAAAATATTAATCCCTGAGCCACCCCTGGAGAGGAAGCATTGCACTCACTAAAACAAGACTGAGACAATCACTCCACAATTAATAACACATGAGTCTTAAGAAAAAAGAATGGGCTGTCCAGCATACATAAAAGGCTCTCCTCTTCTGTCTGTGACAGTCAAGTTACCAGGCTGTCATCTGTCTTTGGAAAAAGAGGTGACATGCTGGGGTCCTTTTAGTTCAAATCTAAACTATAATTTTGATGGGTGAAGTATCAGTTCTACACCACAAGTGAAGTAGTATGAGAGTAGGAAGATTAGCTACCACTGCAGCTAATGCTACCAAAGATAAACTAAATTAACAGCCAAACAGATAAAAAATAAACAGACTTTGAGACTCTGAGAACACAGTTGTTTTGCAGCTTGGGAGATTTATATATGTACCACATAAGCTTTTTAGCCATGTTAGCGGTGGCTCTGGGGAAGTCCATCTATCTGCCGGAAGGTCTGCCCACCACTTTGTTCCAGACTGAAATATCTCAAGATAATGGATCTGCACAAAACTTTGTACAAAAATGAATGGTGCCCAGAGGATGAAGCCTGCTGCATTTGGAGATCCCCTGAATTTTCCTCTATGACCACCAGCATAGCACCAGTTGGTAGAGTGAAATGTCTCTACACTATTGGATGGATTGCTATCAAACTGGGTATAGACTTTTATGTCCCTCTTAAGATAGATTGTAATATGTTAGAACATGTGGCAAGGCCTTTGTTCAGACAATTTGATAGAAACAGTAAGGCAATTTGAAATGTTCCTCCCAACAAAACATCTTTCTTTGTTGCAACACTTCCATTTTATTGTTACAGTATTGTTGCATTACTGTGTGCTCTGCCACTACCTCTCTCAGCATATGAGAGGAAACTCTACTGGCTCATTGATTAATGCTGATTGTCCCTGGTTGTTCTTAAATTCTACATGGTTTGGCACTTTAAGGTAGAAAAACATTCAATCTCCTGGGTCAATCTTTCTTATAAAGGCCAAGAGTTCTTTATAATTTGAACTCACTCGGCAGGTGAGTGTGAGACGCCCATTGAGACTGTGTGTGCAATATTCAGCAATACAAATAAACTTGACTTGATTTGGGTTGTCCTGACTTGACTTGAGCCCTGTGGCCTGAGTGTACATCCCAGTGACCATGTTTCTGTAAAAAGCCCCACTTGTGTCTGAGAGCCAGATTTCCCACTATGCCCTTGGGGTAATATTGTGGCCGCCGTGGAGCCTCCTGGTGCCCTATTGTGGTTTGCAGGTGAAGGGGAACAGATGTTGACAGGAGCCCACTCTCTCCTAACAAGGCCCAATGCACAGAGCACTCTGTACCTGAAATAGCCCAAGTGGTCTGGGCTGGCTATGCTAGCCTCGCCATGAGGGGGGTGGTAAGAGAGATAGTCGGGGCATGACAGAAGCCCATGCAAACTGACGTAGTGTCAGAGAACATGCTTGTTTTCTGCAGGATTCACCAGATCCTAAAAGCTTTTTTGCCCTCATATTGATCCCAGAGCGCCTGCGGTCAGATGGGTGTTGTGTGCCAGTGTGGAGGGGCTAAGAGGCTGGCCCCGAAGATGCTCCAGGGCTACTGCTCCAGATTAACTGTACACTGCTCGGGCACCCATTTCACCTGATGTTACACCGTTAGAGACTTTTTGTTCCACATAATTATGTACATACTCTATGCTGCACCTCTCTCCTGGTTTGTCATGCTGCTTTCTCAAGCAAGCACCTGGCATTGTGTGTATTCAAATATGCTATATTTTCAATGATACATAATACAGGATTTTTGTCTTAGATGCCTCCATTTTCAGTTTGTGAAATAATATTTCATTATGTATAATGACCTACTGCATTAATCTCACCACAGGTCATTTTGCAGTCAAAATTTGTATCAGAAGGATCATAGATTGAAAATGATAGTTTTCTTTCTTATTTTCTTAGTTCAGCTGTATAGTATTAAACAATTTACTAATTAGGTGTCTCTTAACTCAAAAGACATGATGAACTTCTCCAACAACCAACTCATGATAGCAGCAGTTTCACCAGTACAGTTTCAGTAGGTTGTGACCCAGTCACTAAAATCCAAACTATACTGTACCTGCAGTGGAGTGAGGCTCCCTGGAGTTTCTCTGGCCACCCTCATCATCAGACTCCCCAGGAGTCAAGCCTTCTACAACCTGAAAACTCCTCCCCTGTTTGCCCCATACGTGGTGGATCTGCATGGCTGCTTCACGTTCTGCAGCAAGGTCTAGGTCCTGCTGGGCCAGATGGGCTCTCAGCTGCCGGATCTCAAACTGGAGGTGATCGGTGTGTATGCATAAAAAAAGAGAGAAAAGTGGAAGCAGGTTGATTGGAAAGTAAAAATGGAATTAATTTAAAAAGGATGAGCAAAGGGAAAAGGAAAAAAGGATGAGGAAAGCAGGAACAGAGAAGAGCAAGAGGAGAGGGAAACAGAACGGTAAAGGAAGGAAAGAGAACAAGGTAGGATGGAGTGACACTCAGATACAGAACATAAGCACAGACAAACAAAGCCCATAAAAATAGTTAAAACCGTTTTGATTGGAAACAATGTTGAGATTTTCTCAAGACCACACAGATCATACTGAAAAACATCAAGAACAATTACCGTTACTGTTTGCATTACCTAATTATATGTTGGATGCTCTGTGAAATTGTACGCTTCACGTGTGATGTACAGCTGTTATATTTCAAGGTTTTAGCCTTAAGGATCTTGTCCATTGACAAGAAACCATTGCAGCAATATATTTTGTGAAAGGAAGGGAAGAATAAATGAAGAAAATAAAAACAGCAAAATATGGAAGCAACCAGTTTTACTAAATATGCATACAGGGAATATGTATGACTCTTGTTCCAACTGTATTTTTAATATACCTTCAATCAAATACATTTTGACTGAGGTCATATATGAATGTATATATGTGAAGGAATACTAGTGCCTTCAGCTATGAAGAGCAATTTGATTAATGAGAATTTTTAGAAGGATCTGACCTTTTCCTTCTGATAATTCCAGACATATTATGTCCAGTGTCAGATCTGAACTTAGTTAATTGAGGGTTAAGTCTTTATCATTATTTATTGTAGTCTGCATTTTCCATATGAGAGCATCAGTGTGTGTGTGCATGGCAGAATCTTGAGGAAATGTGTGGAAAAACTGGAGCTTTTTGTAAGGTACTGCTGCCCTCCACTGGTGGCAAATGAACTGACAGTTTCATGCTTGTGTGGCCTTAATCATAACAGTAGTATAGTAAATCATTTACCATGACAAATCTACAGGCTATTTTTATTCAATAACTGGATTGTTATATGACCATAATATAAAACAATGAGTAAAAAAAAGAAACTTTTTTACTGATTATTGACATTCAGTACAATATATGTCCAAGCTGACTTTAAACTTATATTCTACTCACTTTCTGTCTTTTGAGTATGATACACCCTTTCCCTGGGTTAAAACGTGGCTGTAAATGTTTTGAAGTCGTGTCGACCGTGATACAGTACTGATGCTGTTTGTTGTGCTGTGCATGAGGGCTCATATACTGCTCTTGTGATAATATCCTCAACTTTCAGTGGATGTGCTTCATTTTTTACTCTTTCATAAACACATTTTGTGGACATGTATGGGGAAATTCAGCCTGGCAGTAAGGTTAAATCTAAGGTGTTTTGGTACTCACAGCCTGTTCCTGGCAGATCTGAGTGAGACGCTCAAGCTGCTCCTCTCTCACAGCCTTGGTCTTCTCACACTGCTGGATCTCCAGTTCCATCTCAACTTTGACTTGTAGCACATAAGCTAACGTGGAAGAGAAAGGACAGAGAGACAGAGTTTTATAACAAAGACAATAAGAATTGTGTAGATTACCAAACTATATAATTTAATGATCTGAAAAGGATTGCCAGGTACATTAGGAGGCATCAAGACTTACTACGCGAGAAAAGTTCCTTAGATAAGACAGCTGGTTACGAAAATCATAGGGCAGTTCAAGGTCAAAGGTCAGTGTTGCTGGACCATTTGTCCTTTGTCCCACATGTGTCTGTCTTCACTTATGCAAACCTCATTAATTACTGGTTACTAGTAACCTTATACCTGTACTGAATGAATGTAGTTAGGTGCTGAAAATGTTCCACAGGGATCTAGTTTCAACTGACTTGAAGGCATCAGAAAGTTTTAATATATTTTCAGCCCAGATTAATACTGTGAACATCCCATTCTACTTCATCTACTGGGTTGACATCTGGATAAACTAAAGTCACTGTCCTGGAATGGTCTTTCGATGATGTAACAATGGTGGTGTCATTGGGGTAAAACATGGACGAGGCTCAATGTTTGAGTTTTAAAAACACATTTTAAAAAGTTATCTGTGTATATTTATGGTTTGATGTTATTTAAACAGGAAAACAAGACAATCTGTAATACAAAAAGCCAACATTAAAAGTTTCTTTTGTGACTGTTACTTTTAGGAACTGTTGTGTGTGTCTAATCTGCAGCTCATTTACAGTTTTTCCCAATTCTTTATTTAACTTTCATTGACCAGAAGCCTTTTGTCACAATGTATTTTGGAGCAGTACACAACAATATTTGAATGTATGTGACATAGATACAGCCTGTCCAGTGAGAATGATAATAACATTTTGAGACAGTAATGCATTCAAACACTACTTTGTGTACCAATATGAAAATCTTTCTAGTTGTATACTCTTGGTGGTCACTCGGTCATCTGAGCTTCACCCTCTTGTTGCCGGATGTGTCTTCACTCTTCAGTGAATGTACGAGTGGTATGTCTCACATGACCTTCTTCTTCGTGTTGCCAGCACACTTTGGTCAGCCCTAAATTATCTCTCATCATCGCTCGCCAATCAAGCCGCAGCTGATTGGTTGTGTTTTTATTACGTCTTGATCAATCAGTAACTCCACCTCTTACAATCTGACTGCACATATTATTTATACATGAAACACTTTCTGAAGCCGGGTGGGATGGTGTACCTAAAAAAAGGATAGTGAGAGTAAATTTGGATACCTGTTGTCATCACAGGTGGCAGACAGTCAGTCCCTCACACCTCTCTGTGATCACATTTGTAAGTCAGCCACATGATATCACACATACTCTGTATCCTGATGGGGAATGTTGCTATGGACAACATAAAGAGGTGAAATTGAATCAGTAATTATACTCGTCCTATTACTATATTTCTGTTGTGATTGTAGTTCGAACCATTAGGAGACTCAAATGCCGACTTCGTCAAAACATTGGGAGAAAAATGAAAAGCTTTTCTGGTACTGAGGGGGGCAGAGCAGAGCACACAGCCATCGCCACATGCTCCTTGTATCTATTTATAGTTATGTTGGAACACACACACACATTTGCAAAAGTGGGGACTCAGAAGGGGTCAGTTCAGTCAGAATTCAAACGGGAACAAAAAGCTCAGTCACAGGTTCATTATTTGGCCACACAGTGTGCATTAATGATACTTTTATGCTCCTGCGTATTGTATCTGTGTCAGTATGTGTTTGCAGGCGTGCAGTGTCGATTGCATGATTATACTATGTGTGTGTCTCTGTGTGTGTGTGTGTGTGTGTGTGTGTGTGTGTGTGTGTGTGTGTGTGTGTGTGTGTGTTTGTGTGTTACAACATTACTGACAGCTGCTGGCAGCACATGCATAACAGTGTAATTCACACCACGGCTGATCCCACAACTTCACAGAGGCCAACAGAAGGCTCTGCTCCACTCTCTCCTCTCACCTCAAGTCAAGTGTTTCACTGCTCAAAAAAACCTGTTCCACTTACACCAACCCACAAAACCCTGTCTCTCTGCATTTTAAACTGATGTAGGACTTGGCATGGATCAGTTTTTCTGTCTGTGAGTATTGTGCCATTCGTATATTACCTCAGAAACCTTTCTCATTATCATTTATTCATTCACCATTTACTGTTATTGCGATTATACTGACTTTGGTTAAATGGCTCTGTTTAAAGCCCTGTCATCATTATAGCAATGCAGAAGCTGGAATGGAAGAAATTCAGCATTTCAGGATTTCTTTTTTTTCTGGAACACCTATTTTATACATATTTGAGAGGTGGATATTTTACATCATATCCCTCCGTTAATACATTTTACTTTGTCTTTCTAGTCCTTACAAATTCTACTGCAGTTCACTTGTCTGTATTTCCACTGCCATCGGACTGACACAAATGTTGCCACTATTATACTTCAAGATAATTCTGCGAGAGACTCAATCCCTCTCCTACGATAACCAAGCCGGTCCCTCAGCTGTACGTTTATTGGTTTGAGTGTGATTTTTTTTCCTCTGAGGTGTGTTGCTGCCTGCTTTGTGAGGAAACTCAATCACTCACAAATATCAAAGTGAACAGGTCGAGGTGTGCGGCAGGAAAATCTCGAGTTCATTCCCTGGAAACCAACACTGCAGCTGCATATTAAGAAGCAGGAAACATGCTCCTGCTGAATGCCTTTCACCAGAGTAAATCAATGAGGTTGGATGCTGTATTGCATTGATTCTTGAAATTATTAATTATGTCATTATGATGTGTCCCTTTTAGCTCAATATATTTAATCTATTAAAACAATGTACTCATGTATGATTAAGAGTTGGGACTAACGCCATTAACCAGACAGGCATTTCTATGTAGGACCTTCCTGTATGTACAAAAACGTAAACAAAAAAGAATGACTGAATGTTTCCAATACAATTATATAATAACCATCTGTTTGTGTGTATTCCTCATTGCAGGCCAGGCACCTGGATGACTGTGACTGGGGAGGGTGTTAAAAATCATGAGGTTTTTATAAAATAAAATGTTTTAATTAAACCATGCAGTAGTTTCAGGCTAAATAACAACACAATGCTATTGTTTTTAATGAAAGAATACGATAATCAGAGCACTCACACTGGAAAGTATCACTAGCAGAATGATAAATATTTTTTTGAATTCATGAACAACTATCAAAATCAGCAGGGGAAAGCACCCAACAGCTGACTGTCCCTTCACTTTCCTGTTATTTCCCTTCTGTCTGTAGATTGCTACAAAGGAGGATTTAGAAAAAAGTAAAAAAATATATATATAACTGAGGTGACTGGACCCCTCATGGCACCAGGCCTGCCTCATTGATAATGAAGAGGTGAAAATGATTGGTAGATAACAGATTTAAAGGAATAGTTTTATATTTTTGTAAATATGCTTATTCCTTTACCGGTAGAGAGTTGGATGAGATGATCTGTATAATTAATTTCAGTTTCCCTTTTTGGAATGACTGTAAGAAAGACAATATTGCAAAAGCTTTATATATATTTACACAATACATAAAGCTTCAGCCAGCAGACAGTTAGCTTAGCTTAGCACAACAGTAGCACAAACCCGCTTTTTTTATACTTCTTTTTTCATACAAGATATAACATCTAACCACCTGCTGGCTGTAGGGTCATCTAACCATGGAAAGTAAATATATATTTCCTAAAATAAATTATTAGAAATGAAATAAATGAAATATTAAGGAAAACAACCCTTTACTCATCCACTGTCTCAGTGCAGCTGATCCTATATGCAGTCAGAGGCTCATAGTGAGGGGGTGACCTCCGAACAGATATCGAACCAGCCAGCATTAGCATAGGGGAGAACAACCACTATATTCATTATGGCCTCTCTGAATCTACTTAACCAGGCCCTTAGAATCAATACAAGTTAGAGTAGCAGAGTGGCAGCAATTTAGCATGAGGGATGATCAATAGCTATTGCTCTGAATAGTAAATAATTTGTATAATCATGGAGAGAATGGGGTCGTTTAGCTCCTTCAAGGCAAGCTGATTGTTATGCATCTGTGTAGTCCTTTTAAGTTAAGAAAGATTGGGTATTTCCTTGAGTCACTCCACAAAATGAATAGGTCTCACATACAGGCTAATAAGACAACTTTGGACACAAGGTTTTTGCCTGCCTCACCATCAATGATCCTTTTGACCCTCCAGATGCGTAGAGTGATGATGAGGCTGATGGCATCCCAGGGGCTGCTGGGCCCGTTGGCCACCGTGGAGGCCACCATGGGGGCCAGGGACAGCACGATGACAGCACCATCAAACACCTGAGGGTGTCATACACACAGACACATACAAAATTCAAATATGTGCAAATGTTGTACCATTGGCCCCTGCCAGAAAACCCCTGCATAACCCTGGCCCTGAACTTGTAGGCTAAGCTTAAGTTTATTCACGCATGCACAGTAGGTTACTTTAAAGGAAGAGTGGGAATTGTCCTATTCACTCAGAAACTGCAGAAAGTTAGATACCGCTCAAATGTCTGTGGTAAATATAAAGCTACTGTTGCATGGATTTTGTTACCTGTAGCTTCATATTGTGTGGTCTCAATATTCTTATCTAACTCTCAGCAAGAAAGCAGAGTTTATTTTCTAAAATGTTGAACCTTTTCTACAACAATTCAATTTAAACTCTGGGGAAAACAAAAAAATAGATAAATAATATTGGAACAGGTTGCCAGATTGAAAATAATATCTGACACTGACAAACACTGAAAACTGGTCATCAAGATCTGCCAATAAACATGAAACACTTACCTCAACTTTGTTCTCTATGTAGTCCCAGATCCCAAGCACTACGATTCTGAAGACAGTCTGAGACAGACAGAGAGAGATGAATGAAGGCATTAAAATAGATAGGTGAGGGAGTATGCTGATACATATGAAAAAAAAAACTCTTGTGATATTCTTAGTCTTTTGAGTTGTCATCACATCCAACAACCTTTGTCAAGATGTGTGAACATAGACTAAAAAACTGAGAATAGGCCTATGTGGTACTGTTTTCGTCCTCAAATACCTTCATTTTTTTTTCAGATAGAATAACAACTATGGTAAAATATATACAGCCAGGCCCCTTAAAATAGCCCAAAATCAAAAGAATATTTGTATTTGATTGGTGTAAAATATGTTGCAGCTACAAAATAGTAAATACATGCGCACACACTGATTTGCCTTTGACACATCACAGAAAAATCACAAAGAAGACAGCAAACCGTTTTATAAGCATTTATAACTAACCATTTGATAAGACTATTATATCTGTGGCAAATCTGTTTCCTGGTCTTTGACCTACTGAAGGACAAAACAACACTTGCAATTTGATCACCTATCAAATTTTGCATCATGTTCTGTATATGCTGTGTGGGACCCTTTGTTGAGGGCCATTGATTTACACTGCAATTAGCATGGGGTGTCATGTACGAGCGGTCCCGCTAATCCATCATCTGGAGCGCATGTCGGACAACAGTGCTGGTGTCAAGTGAGTAGTGCAGGGACTCCACCCACATGTTAGAAACCTGTTTTGTGATTGGTGCAGAGGGACCGGTTGGTCATATGGTACATCTATCTAACACCCTTCCCAGATGACTGTTCTTCTGTGATGTCAGTGGGCGAGGTGTTTGGATGGATCGTATCACTGTAACCCCATCCCCACTGCTCATTAAGCTCAGCTTTAATTATTGCTCCCGCTGGCTCACTGGTAATTAATGTTTGGTTTAGGGCATTGGGGCTGAGGCTGTCAGGGTAATTGGTTTGCACTGAAGTGGAGGCCTGTGGGCCAAATTCTCCCCTCTCCATTTTGTTTTTCACCATTCCACAGTGACGATAAGACATTATTTTATCAAACAATGTCTCAAATTTTATTAAGACTAATTAAAATTATAGTTCAAACAATAGATATTTTACTGGGATTCCAGCCTCAAGGTAGCATTTTTTAAGCTAAAGCTAAATCCTGAATAGACAATGAGGGAAATTAGATGGCAGCCATGTACATCTAGTTCCCCTAGGCCTGTAGGCTATCTGGTTTGCATTGCTGTAGACAGGATATGATCTACAATTAAAGAAAGTTTAGTTTGGTTTAATTCAATTATGAAAACTCCTCTGATAATTTAACAAGAGACCAAGAGAAGAGAGGTAGGAAAATAACAGAATGAGAACTACTGTATATGAAGATGGTCAACAAAATGTCTTACCTCTGAAAAGAAGAGAGACAGGATAATAAGGCTGATCCAGTGGATAATGCTGGCAAATTGAAAAGCATTGGAAACTGTTGAGAGAAGAAACGACACAAATGTTAACCAAGAGGAGCGATACAAGAAAATGACCTCGCAAATAAATACAAGTTAAGAAATAAAAATAACAATAATAATAAATTCCTCTTTGTATTGTAACTGGTGCAATAGGGTGCAAATATAATACTTAACATTCTGATTTCAAGAAGGTCAAGCACAAAGAAAGAATTGTTTTCTCCTTTCCTGCCTGAATTCATTTTGAACTTTCACTCATATTGCCTCTCCTTCTGTCCATCAGCATTTTTTTTTCCATGCATCAATCCACAGCAACAACTTGTATGTTTTAATTGTTTGTATCAACTTGCCTCCTGTCTTCACCTCAGTCGTCACTGTAAATAGGAATCGGTTCGACTGACTTATCTGGTTAAATAAAGGGAAAATCAAAAAAAGACAATCTACCCATGTCCTATACCACTTATCTCTCTCACTCACTCCCGCCTTATTGCCCACTCCCCTATTTGTCTTGCGGGACTGGCAGCAGACAAAGCACTAGATTACAACCGATCTGAAGTGACTAGAGTCCTGCAGTCCCCACAGTGAGACTCAGGTATCATCAGAGCTGGATGCTGGCCAGTAATCGATGGGGATATGTGCCTGCTGCCATTGACAAGAGACTTGGTTCATTATCACCTTTCTCCATCACTCTCCATCACAACCATTTACCATCCAGCACCACCAGCTCCTCTGTGACTGGCAAGACATACACACACAGCAGTGATGGAAAGAGTGAACACTAAATGCATACACATGACTGTTTCATAAACATATCACCTGACTTTTAGGATGATTTCTATGACACTTATAAGTAATGGATCTTCAGACATGAATCTTTGTAAATTTTCCTATGTTCTGTGGTGAAAAAGAATGAGGGACAAAATTCAAAGTCACACTCATGTAAATTATCTGAGTGTGTCATTGTTAACATCTACAGTATGTTACTGTCACAGTATTCTGTACAGTAATTCATATAGTCATACAATTTAGGGTCCCTTATCCACCAGTATTTAACACACTGATACAACATAAAAATACTCCATAACAACTATAAGTACTGCATTCAAAATAGTATTATCAGACAGACTGATATACTATTATTTATGACATTATTGGATTGTGAATATTGATTACAATGAAAGACTGTGTAAGTGCATTTTATGGTTGTAGCTGGTGGAGGTGGAACTAGTCTCTCTACTTTAGATATGGTTAGGTAGTTTAGTCAGTGGTTCTAAATTTAGAGGTAAGATAGAACAAGAAAAATCTGAGGGGGAATTATATAATTAATGGGGTAAAACAGAAGAAAAACAAAAACATTGCCACAAACATTTGTACTAAATTCTTCTGACTTTAAACTAATCTTTGTTTTTTTGTGAAACGCTGGTTAGTTTTACATCTATTTGACTGAAACCATCATATAAGTTTAGAGATGGAATATCTGTTTGGTGGAGTTGCTAACAACTGAAATGTGACCAGGGGCTCCATTTAGACCACATTTTTTGTAAGAGGTCATGAGCCACAGGTTTAATATTTAACAATATGTGGCATTGGTAAGATTATCATATTCATAGTTTACAGTTTTTAATGTTAAATCACAATCAGAAAAGTAACCAGTAACTATACTTATACTAAAATAAATGCAGTGGAATACAAAACACACTGAAGTAGAACGTAGAAAGCAGCATTTAATGAAAAGACTCAAGTAAAGTGCAAGTACCTGAAATTAAGTACACTACTTGAGTGAATGTATGTAGTTACTTTCCAGGGTTGGCACAAGGGGATGTAGCAAACTGAAACACAGCTGAGAATTGAGAACCATTTTACTGTGATATTATGTCGACCACCACAGGGTATAACCTCTAAACCTTGTGTTTTTATCCGTTTAAGAATGTATAAATGTTGATGTGCATCAAATGATACGGGTAATTGATTTTGATTGATTTTTGAAAATAAATTCTCTTAATTTTGACCCTGTCAGCAGGTAGGTCACTGTGCAGGAGCCGCACCACTGGAGTTAGTAAGGATGCGGTGGGCGGATGCTCAAGGACACTACAGCACTTAACTCCCCACTGCTCCAGTGGAGCTGCTAGTGTGTGTTGCACCAGATGCCTCCCAGGTGTTTTACGAACGTCACACTGTGTATTGCTGGGGGAAAAAAATGCATGCTCAGCAAACCTCCCCTTTGATAAAAATAAAGGTTAAAATATAGGAGAAATAAACAAGTAAGTAGCCATGCACACTATTTACATTGTAGGAGTTTGGTGTCTATGAGCAGCTCCAAAGACAGGAAAAGCACCACCAGGATGACACAGGCCACCAGGATACAGTTGAAACCAGCACTGAGCAGACAGACCTGCCACAGGGCCACTCGACGGCCACAGCAGGGCTTCAGCCAGTTGGACCTGAAGAGAGCACAAAAAATGAGGTAGGTTTTTATGTAAAGTAGATTTGTATCAGTGTGGGTATTGCATTTCTAGACTACATAATACACAAAAGAGAGAGATGCAAAAGAATAATGTCAAACTTACTTTACACATGATAATAATTAGTTGTTGACAGCCTCAAATTAAATTATTTGATGTCAGTATGTTGCCTTAAAATACAGACTGTGATGTGACGCTTACATTTTTTCCAGCACAGTATGTTTAAACCGACATTGACTAATGGATGAATGTATTCTTGCACTGATTCCCAGTCTGAGTGCAATGCTCAACAATATTTCAGTGGTTTGATCATGATATGTGAACTCCCTGACATGGCCAACAGAGGGCAGCAATTTAAATTCATGAAATGTGATGTCTGTTCAATCCAAGCAGAGTTTGGTGGTGATGGCCAGAGCAAAGGGAAAGGATGTGTGGTCAGAGACAGCATTGAGAAGGAAAGGGACAGTGAAGCTCTGTAAACTAGTGACTTGACCATCAGCCGTAGCTGTGACTGGAATATTGATGGACTCCTTTTTACATGGCGAAGAAGGGAGTCACTGTATAGGAAGCTGCTTAGAAGGAAGGATTTCAGCAACATCAGTGGCCTGACACAAGAGTGAGAGTTGAGATATAAACATAAATTCAGTTGAAAATGAAAGTGGTTTATCTATGGATAAGAAAATAAATGAAACAATAACCACATTAGTTAGAAATTCACAGTCTCCAGTCTGATGAAAAATCAGGTCTCTACCTTGGATAATATACTTAGAAAAAATTTTAGGTGAGCATTTTTAAGTCTTAAAAGTTGTATTTGCAAGGTCCTGTAAGAATACATCATTTAGGCCATTAAAGTGTCTGGCAAGCTGACTCCATGCTATTTTGAAATAGCGTCTTACAGATCAGCTACTACAAGGGCTGACAGTTGGACATGAGAGAAACAATGCCTCTCACCAGCTCTCCAGCTGGAGTGGAAAGTTGGCTCTGCCCACTACCTTTCCCTTCTCCACATGCACTGGCATGGAGGAGACAGACGTTGGCAGAGCATTTCTCTCCTCTGATCATGTCTTCATTCCTTGGCGTGGTGCTAATATGAGCTGCAACGGTGGCAAAATGGCTCAATTTTCACTGTGGCTTCAAAACTGATTATGCTGCAGTCATTACAGAAGAATTTGGAAATGTTATCTTTTTGAATATGAGTTATCGCCGGTTAAACCACATCACAAACTTTTGAATGAGGACATGTTTGATCCTTTAAATTAGTTTAATAAGCACTGCATTTGAATGAGATATTGAGATATATATATGAGATATATATAGCAAATTAGGCATCTAACCTCAAGAGTACTGGAATGAAACAAATTAAAATCCTTCTTTTACTTTCATGTTGGCTGTGTAAAGTGAGCTCTAAAATGACATATTGTATGGTATTTTGATGAAATATACCAATTTCCTTCAACAGCAGATCATGTAAAAGTGTATTCTGTATATATGTGGACTGGGTCCCAATATAAACCAGTGACTACAAAAATATACAAAACAAAACATGTCATTATGACATTTTAGCAATGTTCTGTTGACTGGGCCTCATACGTGTAATTAGACACAATACCATTTTATTGATTTGGATTGCTAAAATGGCTTCCACAACCTGTTTTAGGGGTTTGTCTGACCCTAATAAAAGACCATTTCTGAAGACACAGGACATCACTGAAGAATAAACTGCAGAAGATCAACATTTTTCTACAATTCTTCTTATGATTTTCTCCCAGAGTAACACATTTATGTAGCAATAAGGGAAATGTTGTCAGCAGCTGTTGAGTTGATCACCCCACCCTCCCATTGGTTTTTCAAAGGAAAGTATTCATTCAAAGGCTGGCATGGGCAGAGCCACAAGCCTGTAAACAATGCACAGCTAATCTAATAAAGGTGTAATCATGCTGATAGCAATCATCTTCTTGGCTTTGGGTGGGGTGGCACAAATGTGCAAGCTCCAGATGGTGTAGAATCTGCTCCTCGTGAGTCTCGGCGAGACTCTGTGGATGCCAGGTATCGTGCCGACCTGAGAACCAGCCTACATGTCAACCTATGTACTGTATATATATATAGAATCACTGTATGAATATATATATTAATAGTAATTCATCTAGAGCTGTGTATTGGCAAGAATCTGGCGATACGTACCACGATACAGGGGTTGTGATTCAATATACTGTAATATATTGTGATATTGTAAGCAAAGCAATATTGCAGTTTCTTTTTTATCTCATTTTTACCACCATATGCATAAAATCTGAGTTTTTAAAAAGTTTACTTTTTTATGCAACAAGAGATCTGCTGTCTGCTATCTGCTAACACTGCTTTGAAACGCTTAGGGGTTTAAACACGAAAATCACACACTCTTGAGCTAACATTTAACCCTAAATTTGATTGCACTTAAGTAATGTCAGTGAGCTTGGTGTGTAGCTCTACTGAGCAAACTCAACTCTTGTCGAATAAAACCTATACTTTACCCACAAAGCTTGTGATTCTGCCATAAGAGCAATGGCCAAAGGACCACTGGTCACAACTACAATCCTTTTTAACTCAGTGTCCAGTCAAATATTGTATAATATTTATTTTAACAAGCATCTGCAGCAGTTAATTTCTCATGCATGCCAGCCACAAACCCCACAGCATATGTTCCTAAACCTAAAGGAAATAGAAAATCAAGCAGCTGCTGCATTACATCATTGATTTTCCCCAAGGTATGTTTGTATGCCACAAAAAATCGGTTGATGAGATATGAGGCAGTTAAGAAGATTGTGTAACTGTAAGAGCACCTAATATTTAATTTCACAATACAATAAAAGGAAGACATAATTTTTTCACTGGGAGACTTAAGTCATTCAAGTTTTTCTTCATGGGGACATTAAACAAGAAAACATAACGCATTGCTTCTTCATTTAAACCAGAACTGAGTGAATGATGTCCTTTAACTATGTATTGCTTTCCATTCAAGTAGTTGGAATTTGGTGCCCTGTTGAAGGCCACCTTGACAGTAGTTGAAAGTGAGGAGTTACTCGTTCACCCTCTCCACCCACATTTTACATGAGACTCTGGGGATTTGCACCAGTCAACCTCCAGTAATAACCTTTCTTTAACCTTTATGGATTTGTGGCTACTCCCGGCAGCACACAGCAGTAAAATGAAGGCTCGTTTAACCAATACTGAGAGAATATATTCTAAAAATGTCTCACCAACAACGGTATTTCCTCGTTGAGTCATGTTAGTGCAAGTGAGACTGCAGGCAGTTTGGGAATGTTTTATTTTTATGTTACATTGAAGGAAAAAAAAGAAAAAGAATCCATGCATTTGAGTCATCCAAACGTTTCACTGGTTCAAACAACCTCCATCTCCAGAGGTTATGGTTTAGCAAACTTCCAACATATGATTAGATAGTCCATCAAAGTGCATCTTATATCAAATGATTTCATGCTTCATTCAACTGCTGCAGGGAAGTAAAAATAAGAAAAAAAATTACCAGAACAATAAAAATCATGAGTGGGAGTAAAAGGAAGTGGTAAAAGTGAAATACTCCTCTCACAAACTTTATAAGGGTACAGTCTCCTCAGGCTTTAATGGATCCAGGAATCATGGTATAGTGCAGCCAATCACAATGAACCCCACTGAATACAACACTCAAAGAGAAAGTCCACTTTTGGGTTTATTTTACTATTTCCCTCCATAGAGTGTGCAAACCATGGCTTTTGCCCGTGATGCACAGTATGCTGACTACAAACCAGGGAAATAAATGAGTAATGTCAGTGTGATGCACAGACTGACTAGGACTAGGAGAGTTTATTTTATGGATATTTTCTCATCTAAATTTAATGATATTGTGCTGCCACGCTTCAATGGTGATAGCAAGAATAGCATCATCTTTAGAGAATTAGTGATGAATCACACTCATGCACAAATCATATATCAATAGTAGCCCAAGTTTACGCATAATCAATGATGATATAGAAAAATAGAAATGCATTGCAAAAATAGAATATTGCCAATATTTTAGAGACCCCCAAAAATCGTAAAAATCATGTTTTCAGGGGAGCTCACGTCTTATATAGAGTCCACCCTGCCTCCATACCCCCAAAAAAGCGCTATAGCCAAGATTTTAGGTACTGAGATCTTAAGTCAAAGTTACTTCACTGCGCCCCTTAACCCTGTCAGGTACAGTTTAAAAGTATGCTGAGTGGTGATTTCGCTTATTTCAATAAATGGATGTCTGTGATTAACTATACAATCCCACTGAAATAGAGGTAAACATACTTTTAAATGCTTTAGAGATGAATAGTGGGACACAATAAACCACATTATGGCCTCTATGTACAGTATAGCCTATAGAAAGACATTGTTAGACATAATGTTAAAAATAACGAAGGAAACTTCCTGTTTGCATGTTGATCAACATGATCTTTGTGTTGTCATAAAAAATGTCGACAGCTAACAACGGCAACATATTAAAGCAATAACACAATATTTTGCATAATATACATATTCACTATACTGCCTTGAGATGAGAAGTTTGATACCTCTTTCATGTCTGTACATATATGATGCTTAATATAATATACGATGTTAATTTAGGTTAGCATAAAGACTGGAAACAGCTAGACTGGCTCTATAAGTGTAGAAGTGATTGGGCTCATGGGGTTGTTGTTATTTGTTTACATCAAACTCACAGAGAAGACAAGAATACAGAAAATGACTGCTTCTGGACGACAAAATAGTCCAGAACATACATGTTTATTAGTGAGCTTAATAGGTAGGTAGTAAGGGTTTCTGGTCTTAATGCTATATATAAGCTACGCTAATGGGCCAGTGGCTATAGCTTTATATTTAGCAGACAGACACAATAGTGGTATCTCAAATCTCTACAAGAAAGTGAACAAGCATATTTCCCTAAATATCAAACTATTGGTGTAGAAGGTGTGTCTCGC